GGGCTTTTAATTCTTTTATTTTAAACTATATATTACTTTAATATTATTAAGAATAAGATAAGTATAAAGATATTTCTTTAATTATTTAAATATTAAGTTTATATTTAAGAAAAAGAGCATTTTTAAAAAAATATAATATAAAGTATTAAAAGCCTTATTATTAATAATAAAGAATATAGCTTTAGTTTTATTTAAATTAATATAAATTTACTTTTTTATAATTTTAATTAAAGATAAAAAATCTTTATTATATATTATTAAGTTTATATTATTAAATAAAATATATAAAAGTTTATTATATTTATAATATAATAAAAGTAAGAAATTTATTTTAGCTTTAATATTTAAAAAAGCAAGCTATAAAGAATAATTATTTACTTTTATATAAATTATTAAGTAAGCTAAATTAAAATATTTTTAATTAATTATATTTATAATAAATATAATAATAAAGTTAACTTAATATTAAATAATTTATAATAAATTAATTAAAGTATTAACCTTAATATTATCTTTTAAGAAAGTAATTATATTAACTTTAAGAAATAAGTTTTTAATATAATTCTTAAAATATATTAGCTTAAAAAGTATTTTTAATAAAATATATACCTTAAATTATATTATTAATAAGTATTTAATTAAGATTAAATTAATATTATTAAATATTAAAATATTTATAATATTTATTTTAATAATTATAATTAAAATTATTTAAGCTACCTTTTTTTTAAGTAATAAGGGTTATTAAATATATTTCTTTAATTTTAAATTTATTATATTTATTAAGCTTACTTTTATTATAAAAAACTTAGCGTTTTTTTTTTAAGTTTAATTTTAATTAATAAATAAATTTTTTCTTTCCCTTATTTTCTTTTTATTTTTTAATTATAATTTATTATTAATAATTTAAAATTAATTATTTTTTATTTTTTTAAAATCTTTAAATTAAGCATAATTAATTTTTATAATTTTTATAACTTTATTTTAATTTTTAATATTTTTAGCTATATATTTTTTTTTAATTATAGCAATATTTATTTAAAAAAGCTTATTATTATTTATAATTATAAGCTTTTCTTTAATATAAATTATATAATTTATAGAATTTATAAATATTAAAATTAAGTTAACTTTTTTTTAATTATTAAGCTTTTAAATTACTTTTAAAACTTTTAATAAGGCTTTTTTTTTAAATAAAAGATTTACTTTAATAAGCTTATAATATTTAATTATATAAAGTAAATTAAACTTTTCTTTCTTAAATAAAAACTTTAATTAACTATAAATATATTTTTTTAAATTATAATTATTTTAATTATAATATAATTAAATATAAATAAGATTTAAATATTTTAAAAGGCTAACTTAAGTATTTTTAAGTAAGCTAAGGAATATTAATAATTCCTTTAGCTTAAAAGCTATTAATAAATTATTTAAAAAAAGTAGCTTAAGCTTATTATATTAATATATATTATAATTTTAAAAAGTATAATTATAATAAACTTTAAGTAACCTATTCTTTTTAAAGAAAAATATTAAAATTATAGCTTATGCCTTATTATTATTAAAATTACTTTAATTAAGTTTTATTAAAAACTATTAAATAAAATTTATAGCTCTTAACTTAATTATTTTAAAATTATTTTATTATTTATTATAAAAAAAAGCTTTAATATTTTATTAAAATAACTTAAATTTATTTTTAAACTTAATTAAGTTAAGTTTTAATTTTATAAATCTTTTAATAAATTTATTTATATTTTATAAATCTTAATTATATCTTTTAATAATATTAATATAATTAAATTTAAATAAAAATTATTAAGCTTATAAATTTTTATTTTAAAGATAATTTAAAGAATTAAAATTATTTTAACTTTTTTAAAAGAAATTTAATCTTTTTAAATTAAGTAAATTTTAATTAAAATTATTTTATATAAATAAATATTTATTTTACTTAAAATACTTAAGTTTTTAATTAATAACTTTTAATAAAGTATGCTTAAAGTTTAATTAAAAAATATTCCTTATTAATTTATAAATAATTTCTTTTTTTATTAATTATCTTTTTAAATATAATAAAAATGCTTTATAAAAGGGCTAAGTTATAATAAAAAAGATATTATTTATATTATTAAGTTTTTAATTATATTTTATAATTTTTCTTTTTTATACTTTTAAATTATTATAAGGATTATTATAAATAATATTTTTAATAATTATAATTAAATTTATATAATAAGTTTAATTATTAAATTTATAAAAAATAAAAAGCTTTTTCTTTTAATTTTTTTAAATAAATTATTTAATAATAATGCTTTTAATTACTTTTATTAAGTTTAAAATAATATAATATTGCTTAAGTAATTTTAAGATTTAATTATTTAAGTAAGAGAATTAATAAATAATAATTTTAAGGTTATTTAAAATCTTAATAATATTAATTTTATTAAATTTTAAGGTATTTAAATTATAAATTATAAATAAAGCTATTTATAATAAAATTATTATATTAATAAAAAGTAAAATTTTTAAAATATTAATTTAAGTTTTTAACTTATTATTAATAATAAATTATAAAGTTTAATTAAAATAAAGTTAATGCTTTAATTAATAATAAGTAAAATTAAATCTTTTTTTTTTCTTAATAAGTTTTTTAAAATTCCTTTTTTAGCTTTAAATAAAAAAAAATAAATAATTTTTAAGGTTTAAAGATATTTTTAAAATAAAAATAAATTTAAAAGGATTTTAAGCTTAAGAATATAATATATATATTATAATAATTCTTATTAAAATAATAATAAAATAAAGAAATTTAAAAGCAATAATATCTTTAATTAAAGTAATTACTTTTAAAGAATTTATTTTTAATATTATTATAAAATATTTAAATTATAATTTAAAAAATAAAAGTATTAATAAATATAATAAATAAAATAAACTTAATAAAAGAATATTTTATTAAAAAATAAGAATTATAAGGTTATAATAAAGAAAGCCCCTTAAATTTATATTTAATGCCTTACTTATTAATATTATATTAAACTCTTAATAAATTAAATTTAAGTTTAATTAAAGCTTAAATAAAGTTATATTTTAAATTTAAGTTTTTTATATAATTTAATTAATATAAAAATATATAATATAATATTATTTATTAAATTTATAAGTAAGTAAAGTAAGCATTTTAATTTTATATTATAGCTTCTTTTATTTTAAACTTAAAATTATAATAATAATAATAAATATTAATTAAAAGTTTAAAGTATTTTTAATTAATATTAAGTAATATTTATAAAGTTTAAATTTATTATTTTAATTTTAAGTTTAAATTATTATTATATTTTAAGTATAATTTTTAATAAAAAACTTAAAATAAGTTTAAAGCTTAATAATATATTAATATATAATTAAGATAATATTTTATTTAAATATTAAAAGCATAAAAGGTATTTTAAAATTAAAAAATAATTTTAAGATATTTATAATATTATTATAAGTTTAATTATATTTAATTCTTTTTTATAATAAGTTAAAAATAAATATAAGCTTTAATTAAAGCTTTAAGCTAATATATAAAATAATTTAATAATATTTAATATAAAAATAAAAAGAAATAAAATTAATAAATAATTAGCTTATAGCTAACTTTTTATTTTTTTTTTATTAATTAAAAATATATAAAATTAAAATTATACTTAAGTTAAGTTATTAATAAAAATAAGCTACTTAAATAATAAGGGATAAGTTTTACTAAATCCTTTTAAGAATAACTTAAGAAGAAGCTTTAATATAATAAAGAAAAAAGATAAAAATAAAAGGAAATTAAAGAAAGGAAAAAGATAAATATTTTAAAAATTCTTAAAAATAAAAAAAGCTTAATTAAAGCATTAAATATATAAAAAAAGAAAAGAGTTAATTTCTTAAAAAAATATTTAAAATAAGCGTAAAAGCTAGCTTTTTATAACTAGCTGGAATTTAACGCAATACCATTTCTTATATAATTCCCTGTACCCGCCAATAATATCTTAACTTTCTTATATCTTAAACATAACTAAATATCGCGTTTATAAATTAACTTTATTCCTAGTATAACTTTACCTTATTAAGGGATTATAATAAAACCTTAAATTATGCATATAAATATCTTTTTAAATTTCCTAATATTAATATTAAGTATAAAAGGGGGTTTATAGATTTAGTAATATTTATTAATTTTAACTTTATTAAATATCTTAATATTAAATAATTTATTACTAATTAAGTTATTATCTTTAGGAAAGCATTAATTTTATGGTGCTTATAGTAATAAAAAATAATAACTTTATTTATAACTTATGCTAAGTATATTACGATAGCTAAATTAATTAAGAAGGTTATTTAAATTAAGGGGTTTTTAAACTTTCTTAATCTTTTGAAGTTTAGAATAAATATAATACTTATATATATTAATAATAATGTAGTAATTATAATTACTTAAAGTTTATATTCTTATAGCAAGATTAATAATATTAATATTTATTATTATTTTATTTAAAAGTATATAATAAAAATTAAAAATATTACTATATATTATGTTAATATTAAGTTTAATATTACTAACATTCTTATTAAAATTCTCCCTTAAAATAAGCATTATAAGCTAATAAAGTTAATGAAATTAATTAATATTTAATTAGGCAAGTACTTATAAGGCAACTTAGGGGGAGTAGCTAATGAGGAATCCGAAGGATATAAAGAGAACGAGACTTATAAAGGTTCTTAGAGTTAAGGGGAGAGTTAAAGATGCACTTTAAGATTTTTACTTATTCTCTGCTTTATAAGAAGGTGTTTATTGCCTATAAGGTAATAATGGTTATAGCTTTATAATTAGAGCCTTTTCTCCCAAGGGGGGGAATTAGGAGTTTTTAATAGCATGAAAAGCCAAGAAGGTTTCTCCTATTTGGTTATGCACCCGGCTTTTAGTATAATAAAGCTAAAATCCAACTAAGTACAAATCGGGGGACGTGGCGCAACGGTAGCGCATCTGATTCCAGTTCTGGAATATCCAGAAGGCTGTCTGTTCGAATCAGGCCGTCCTCAAAGAGTTTTTCTTTTTTCATTCCTTTTTTAAAAAGGAATAACATTATATCAAAGCAACCTACACACCCACACCGTACAGTCTACAGCGTCCCTTGTAATTGTTGCAGTGCTATTCCGTGGGTTAGGTGCATAAAGAAGCACATGCATATAGTGTTAAGGGAAGATAAGGCGGTGAACTATAAATTAAGGCATATGTAAATAATTGCGCAATCTTTTTCTGCTTTATAACTCTTCTTATAATCTTAATAATGCGCCGCCTGGTTATTTTGCTTAAAAGAAGCTTAATAATTATAATTAGGTCTTTCCCGCCTCCAGCCATTGCGTTTGCCCTAAGATAAACATTAATTAAGATAATGAAGCACTTATATTAATGTTAAGAACGGAAACCTTGGGCGCCGTACAACTTAGCAGAAGCAACCCATAAACTACCGACAATACTTTTAGTTGCACCTTGAATTCCTTCTCCGGTCCTGCTAAACTAGAACATTTAAGCGACCATCCACTTCGTCGTCTCAATAAAGGTGCCTTGCAAGCAGGACATTCTCTTCCCGGAACACGAACCCAAGGGCCGAATGCCCAATCCAGAACACCAAAATATAAAACCGATCGTTTCGTCCATGTTTCTAGCAGAGGTGCCTTATAAGCAGGACATTTTCTTCTAGGGACTGAAACCCAGGGACCCAGTGCCCCGACGGAATCGTATCATCCACCGGCACGAAAACCCGTTTGGACGTCCTCCGGTTAGCGTTCTTGTCTCCATCCTTAACGAGACATTCTTCGCAACCAGAATAACGAGATAGGTACTGCCTAGTCCGTATCATATAACGCGGAGTGAGGTCCTGTTTAACCCAACCGCAGGTGCCACACTTGACCTGTACGGTTTGGCCGGCGGGAACATCCCGAAAGATGTTCTCGTCGGCCCAAGCAGCATTCCTGCGGAGGGTATCGGTATTCTTAACGAAGTTGTCATCATATACCTTCTGGATGTTCTGCTTGAGGGTATGCCGGGCGGCCTCGCGAACATTGGGGTCAGTGGAATTGGCGAGCTTGCCAAATGCCATTGTTAATTCAAGTACCCGCCCTTGAGAAAGGGGCAGAGCAACATTCAGACCAAGCGGGGCTAAGTCAGAATGGTCCGCCGCAGTTCCCTCGGGCAGCCACTTGATGAGATCTTGGGTCTGAAGGGTGCGAAAGACAAGAGAGAAATACATCTCGCCAAGGTTCAGAAACAAGTCGGCATGGCCGGGATCGGAGAATTCATCCTGATCCGGCGCGAAGCCCAACTTGACGATCTTCGCCTTGTTCATCTTGTCTTCGTCGGCTGTGTCCTCGAACGCCCGCCAAGCGCGGTAGACGAGTTCCTTCTTCGCAAGATTGGTGGAGCTGGTGCGGTGCTGGTTCGCTCGATCCAGCAGGGTCTTTGTGCCCTCTCCGCCTCCTGCTTGTCCGACATAGACCCGGTACCACTCCCAGACTTGACACTTCTCATCCCACATGAAGATGAGGTACCAGCCTGGTCGTTTGTGCCGGTAGTCTTCCTTCATGCTGTGAAGAAACTTAGGGTCGAGGGCCTTGCCTCCGACCACACAGTTCTCCCAGATGAAGTCGTCAGCACATTTCTCCATCAGGGAAAAGAGCTTTGTACTCCCCTGGTTGTCAATAAATCACTGGTAGCGATACTCCTTGGACAAGCTCTTTGGGACGTGATGCTCGCGAAGGCACGAGTTCATGACACGTTGGTGGAGAGGCAGACCAGTGTCTACCGCCACCTTGCCTCCGCCTCCGTCACCAGAAGATCGTTGATCAGGTAGGACACGCGAGTGTCCAGCAAGTCATCGTTCTCCCGGAGAGGCTGCGGCAGGATGTCGAATATTTTATCGAGCTTTTCGTCGATGAACTCTTTGCGGAGACTGCGAGAATTCTCGGGGCGAAGAGTCTTGCCCTCTGCCCGGAGATCCTGCAGCCAGTCAGTGATGGAGGAAGCCAGTGCCTCCCCTTGCATGACCTGCAGGTTAGCGTCGTTAATAATTTCAACAGATTAAATAATATTTATAATTAATCTTTATTAACTTAATAATATTTAACATTTTTATTATTATTTTAATATATAAATATATTATAAAATAAATTTAAAATTAAAATTAATACATATTATTTTTAAATAATATATATATATATATATTAAAATAATAATAAAAATATAATATAATAATGAAAAATAATTAATTTATAATTAAGATTATTTAAAAAAAAATTATTAAAAAAGTAAATTAAAGTAATTTTAAAAGTTAATTAAATTAATAAAATAAGTTAATTAAATAGGCTTAAAAAGCCTTTATATATAATTAATTTTATAACTTTAATAATTTTATATAATAATAAAGATTTAATATAAGAAAAAAAAAATAATTAATTTATAATTAAAGTTATAAAAGAAAAAAAAGAAAAAAAAAGGAAAAAAAAGAAAAAAAAAAAAAAAAAAAGAAAAAAAAAAAAAAAAAAAAAAAAAAAAAGAAAAAAAATTAATTAAATAAAGCTTAAAAAGCCTTTATATATTAACTTTATAACTTTAATATTTATATTAAAGCTTAAAATATTAAAAACGAGCCACCTAAATAAATAGGGGACAGGTTTTGCTAAACCCTCATTAGGACAACTCAAGGAGGAGCTCTAACGCGATAGAGAGGGAAGATAGGAATAGAAGGAAGCCAGAAAAGGGAAAAGGCAAATATTTTAAAAAGTCTTAAAAAATAAGAAAAGCTTAATTAAAGCACTGAGTGTATAAGAAAAGAGAAGAGTTGATTTCTTAAAAGAATGTTTAAAACGAGCGAAAAAGCTAGCTTTTATAGCCAGCTGGAATTCAGCGCGGTACCATTCCTCACGTATTTCCCTGCTCCCACCAACAATATATAAATTTAAATAATAAGTTAATTTAAAAAAGAAAATTAAAAAAAGGCTTTAAAAAGGCTTTTTAAGTTATAATTATAAAGTAAAAAAGGTATATTAATAACGGAAAATATAAAAGCAGCTATATAAGCTTAACTAACTAGCTAACCTACCTATAGCCGCTAGCCTTAACTAGAAAAAGCTAGCAGAGAAATGATAAAGTCATTTCTAGGTTGAAAAAGAAAATTAAAATGAAATTTTAGCATCCATTTTGAGGACGGCCTGATTCGAACAGACAACCTTCTGGAAATTCCAGGACTGGAATCAGATGCGCTAGCCGTTGCGCCACGTCCCCAAGTCATGACAAGCGGAATTCCAGCTAGCTTATATCATTGAAGAAGTCTAAATACATTTCTAAGCTTCATTAACATTAAATAGAAATTTATTAAAAAGAAATTTAATATTATAACATACTTATATAAATAATTAATAAAGCTTTTATTATATAATTTTTTTTATTTAAAATCTTTTTTATTTAATAAATACTTAATTTATTTAATTTAAATTTAATTATTATTATTTTAATTTTAATTTTATTATATTTTATAAAAATATATTAAAAAAATATAAGTTTTTAATATATTATAACTTTTCATTTTATAATTAATATAATATTATATATTATTTAATAAATAATATATTAAAATAAAGTTAAAACTTAATTTATATATTTAATATTTATTTATTAATTTATCTTTAATTTATTTTTATAAATTTACCTTTTTATTATTTTTTAAAAAATTAAGTTTAAAAACCTTTAAAATTAAAAACTTGAGAAAGAAATTAAAAAGCTATAAGTATATATATAAGCATAGCTTATTTATATAAAAAGTTAATTAATTTATTATATGCCCTTTAAATACTTACTTTTATAATGCCTTAAGCCCTTTAAATGCCTTCCTTTTTTGCTTAGAGAAATAATACTTAGTTAAGACTTGGCTGTAATATACGTTGGTTGGACCTGTATACACTCTGCCCCCTTATCAATAAGCCCATCCTGTCTTACAGCCGCAGCTCTCTTTTCTTTCTTTTCTTTCTTTGGCCAACCTACTCTTTAAATCTACATAATTTAGTGCATATTTCAAGCCTCTGTGCTGTAAAGCCCAAGTAACATCTTAACTTCACTTTACTTAAATTAATGTAATTAAGGCTAGTTATAATGTTTTTTAACCTTTTAATAACAAGAATATAAATTACGTTAATATTTTTTAAAGGCGTAAATCCTTTTATTATTATTATATTATATATAGTTTAAACCTTTAAAATATTTAATTTTAATAGTTAAATCCCTAGGTTATAATTACAATCTTGGCTAGTATATTCCTTCCCCTGCTAGCAGTAGCGGAGATGAAATAACGGGTCAGCCCTATACTTCAGAAAGGCAAGTTTCATTTTCACAGACAGTGGCCGTTGTGGCTTGGTACAGGATGGCCCGCGCAGTGAACGCTTATTCCGTACACAATGCGCTATTCTTCCGAACCTGGGCCTTTCGCAGGTCCAACGCCTCACTCACATTCTCCCACGAATCCGTCCGCCACAAATATAATAGCCAGTTCTCTGCCACCATTCCCTCATACGAGTCCTCGTGCATCCAGAACGTCACCGACTGGTCCTTGGCCGTCCACCGGAACGTGGTCAGCACGCACACGGCGCCTGCCCTCTAAGAAGCCAAGCCATCTTCATCCGTCTCGTCGTCCAGGAGAAGCGATCGCAGTTACTTGGGCAGCTTCCCGAACCTTATCTCATCATCGAAAACCAACATAAAGTGTGGGACGTGCGGATACTCCGTACGCAAAGGCGGGAACATGACCGTGTACTCGACCACGTCCCGGGCGGAGGGATAAGGCGCGCGGGCCGTCGTGGCGATCTCGCCTTCCAGGAGCGCCGCCAGGAGCGCAGACGACCAGTGTGCCGGATAGCCCAGTTCCACGACGTGCACGAGCAGACGCAGGAATACGGCCAGATTCAGCGGCGCGTAGACGAGTGTGAGGGGGTTTGGGAAGCATAGCTTGAGAAAGTGGGCATGCAGCCAGTGCGTCAGTTTTGGCTTAGGCATGAGCTGCTCGAAGGTCATCTTCTGGGGCTCGATGCGCTCCCACAGTAAGTGGTCTCGTTTTTAATCTGTACACATATGCTTCTTAAGCAACATGCGTCCAGTCCCTTCACACAGTAATAAACGCTTAGACACCCAGCGTTAAAAAACAATACAGCTCCCACAGTAAGTAATCCATGAGAGGGAAGGGCGGGCCCATCAAGTTGTCCTCCTCCCCAGGCGTGTCTGCCGACAGCTTCATGTGGAAGTGAGACCGGATTAGGTTGCGGTCGTACATGTGGAGGTACTCGGCGAGGAACTGCTCGACGGTTTCCCACCGCGGCGGGTTGCGGAGAACACGAGATGTAATGTCTGTGACACGGTCTATGCTGCCACTTTTATGCACACCAGGTAGATCTTGCCACGCCGCACAGATAGCCTAGTAGGTCCTACAAGGTGATATGATCACACAAGGAAATTTAATGTATATATATATTTAATTTGCAGAGCCTTAAAGACGCTCTCTTAAGAATGAGTTACAAGCTCATGTCTTCATGAAACACGATTTCAGGCCTTTGATGGGTTGTTGAGGCCGTTTTGCCAACTCGGGTTGCCAAGCCAATAGCCTTGAAGTATGTATTCGGAGTGGGCTTGAGGCTGATGAGTAATGCCCCGAATGCGCTAACTGGAAGGAAGCAAAAGTCTCAGATGTTAAGGCAGGAAAGGGATAGCTTTGCACCGTCCAGCTGCTAGAACAGCTAAGAGATCTTTGCCCTGCTGGTCTGGCCCGTCGAACAAGCTGTGCGGGATTCATGAACCTAGGGTAGCGTGGAGCTTGAGGATAGACAGCACTGAGCACGATGCACCTCTAACTCGCACCCAACAACTGGATTCAAGCTGAAAAGAGGACGGATGTTGTAAGTCTGAATGGCTTGAGGAAAACTATCCACTTGATCAATTGCATCTCAGGTCATTAGACAAATCTGTCCTACCTTATCACCAAACAAGAATAGCGAGGCCCATAAAATGTAGTCTTGCCCATCATAATCTGGGAGAAGGCAAGAACACTATCAAGAACAGGACACTCGTTGCTGATGTAAACTCTGAAACACCGCATCCCCCCACATCATTACTCTCAACTGCTTGGGTGAACGAAGGCTTTAATGTATGCGAAGAGGGATCTTTGCGGACTAAACCGCCTTTTAGACCAGTTATGGGACCACGTGTACATGACTCCCTGCGTCTGCCACGGCCAGGCGGGCCAGCGTCGGCCCACCCAGCTTTTTAAGTGCGCCCACCCAGTACATAATTTCCTTAATAAAATACGAACAGAGTTAAGTACTTTTCTTAATAAGTAAAAAGCTGCCCCATATTTGAAAAGCTAGGGTAGCTAATTTCCTATTTAAGTAATACTTTAAAAATATAAATATAAAGGGCATAGAGGGCATAGAGGGCATAGAGGGCATAGAGGGCATAGAGGGCATAGAGGGCATAGAGGGCATAGAGGGCATAGAGGGCATAGAGGGCATAAAGGGCAGAGGTAGATTCTAAGTCGCGAGTAGCTGGGTAATCTTAGTCAGAATCTGAGGGGTACCTGTGTTTTAGTAGCGCTTGCAGCCATTTTTTGGTACTGGGTGGGCGCACTTAAAAAGCTGGGTGGGCCGACGCCCGCTTTCAAGAACTTCAGCTGTTTGTTTGTCTAGCTCGACGTATAATGCGTATTTTGTGCCGGAGAAAAAGATAAGAATTGCATCTATTATCGTCATGCGTCCGTTCATCTGAAGCGAGCATCGTCGAGGCTTTGGCTTGTGTGGGCGGAGCACAAATGACCGATAGACGATCCTACAATCCTGCCCGCAATTCTCAGAGGTGTTTTCTAAATCAGAAATGACCGAAATTCGGGGGCTTCTTTGTCATCGCTACACTACTTTTACCTTGGTATACTTGAGCAGTTTAAATGTAATACGATCAACTCTGATTCGTTTTCACGAAATTGAATCTCATCTACAAACCGAGTGACGGCCTTTTCTCCTCTACCACCTTCGAACAGGGGCGCAGTCAAAGCAAATCGACTTCCGACGCCATGAAGCCTTCTGCACTCGCCCGCAGCGTGTTGCTTCACTTGCTCTTGGTAGCCAGCACGGCCTCAAGCAGCAGCAATGTCAACGCTCGGCGCTGCAAATGCTTCCCAGGCGATGCGTGCTGGCCGTCCCAGCGAGCCTGGGAGAACTTCAACAAGACCGTAGGCGGTCGCCTGGTCCGGACAGTCCCGCTTGGCTCCCCGTGCCATGATCCTCATTACGATGAGGCCTTGTGCGAGACCCTCAAGAATGACTGGCGCTATTCCGAGGTCCATATCAAGTCGTCTTCGTCAATGCAGGACCCCATCTTTGCCGGCGCGAGCTGTGACCCTTTCACACCGCGAAACACGTCTTGTCAGCTTGGCAATTACGTCCACTACGCCGTGGATGCAACGGGGCCCCAGGATATTGCCCAGACGATTCGATTCGCTACAAAGAACAACATCCGGCTCGTGATCCGGAACACTGGCCACGACTATATGGGCCGGTCAACGGGAGCTGGTGGCCTGGCGACCTGGGTGCATCACCTGAAGGGAGTCGACATCCTAGACTGGGCCGACGCCGAATATACGGGCAAGGCCGCCAAGATGGCAGCGGGAACGCAGGGCTGTGAGCTCATTGAGGCATTGTCATCTCATGGCCTGGTCGCGGTCACCGGGCAGTGCCCCACCGTCGGTGTTGCAGGAGGCTACACGCAGTCGGGTGGCCACTCGCCGCTGAGCACAGCCTTTGGCCTCTCGGCGCATAATACGCTCGAGTTCGAGGTGGTCACTGCCGACGGGCGTCTTGTGACGGCCAGTCCGTCTTCCAACGCGGACCTTTTCTGGGCGCTCAGCGGCAGCGGCGCCGGCAACTATGGCGTCGTGGTCTCGGTGACACTCAAGGTCCACCCAGAGGCCGTCACCAGCGGTGCCTCTTTCACCATCGCCCAGCCTGGCCTCAACTACCCGGCGATCGTCAATGCATGGCACGATGCCCTCCCGGACGTGCTCGACGCGGGCATGATGGTCACGTACTACGCCGCAAGCAACGCCTTTGGCGTCCTGTCTTTGACCGGGTACAACCGCACGCAGGCCGAAGTCGCCGCGGCGCTGGCGCCGTTCGCCACCGCCCTCGCCGGGTTGGGCTCCTCCATGCAGCCGGCGTACACGCAGTTCGACACTTACCACGAGCACTACGTCCACTCGTACGGGCCCCTCCCGGTGGGCTCCTTCGGCACGGCCGGGGAGTGGCTCATGGGTGGGCGGCTGCTCTCGCGTGGCGCGCTGCCGGGGTTGGGCCCCGAGCTCAACGAGACCTTGAGCCTGGGCGTGGCTCTCATCGGCCAGGCCGTCAGCGTTGCCCGCTTCGATGCCCCGGACGTGAGGGCTGTGGCGCCCCACTGGAGGGACGCCGCGGTCATGGCGTCGTTCGTGCTCCCCTTTGACTTTGCCGCCCCCTTCCAGAACATGGCGGCGCGGCAGGACTACATCACCGAGTCGGTGATGCCACGCATAGAGGCTGCCACGCCCGGGGGCGGGGCGTACATCAACGAGGCCGACTTTCAACAGCCTGACTGGCAACAAGTCTTTTATGGGGGGCATTATCCGAAGTTGAAGGCAGTTAAGAGACGGTATGATCCGAAAGGGTTATTCTACAACTCCATAGCTGTAGGTAGTGAGAGGTGGGAGGTTCTGAATAATGGCAGGATGTGTGAGGCTTAAGACTCTTGTATAGAACAGGACATTCTGAAATGCCCGCCCTAAGCTCCTGCGGTTCCACTGCGTATTTGAGTCCAGGGGTGTGTTTGGGAAAGTCCAGTTCATCCCCTAGGCAAGACTTTTGAGCACATGCCATACCATCATCACCTTTGAACAGTCTAGATCCAATGTCGAGATGTTTGAGAGAGCAAGTTACAATCTACATTATAGGCATCGCACATGTCCACTGAATGTAGGATTTGGAATGTAGGATTTGGCAACATCTCTCGTTATACACTCCGGCATATATGTGATGTTGAAGCTCTAGCGATCTAATGTCCATGGCTCGGAAGCAGCACAAGACTGGAAACAAGACTGTGCCGGATGCATTCGTCAATGGCAACAAGAGAACGGAGTTCCATGAAGCCAAATTTAACATTTTTGTCTCTGAGTTTGAGAATACCCTATCTAGGCGAACAGCCACAGATATACACACCAAAGAGCACGTTGATTTTTCCGCCAAGATTACCGGCCACCTGTGCTTCAAACCCACCGAATCTGCCCTTTTCCCAAAAGAATGATTGACCTCGAGCTACATGGACCATGGTCAACTTTCAGTCACCCACACTTATCTGGTCTCAGCAACACCGTGAGCCTTCAACTGAAGCATTGAGCCGAGGCCAACACTCGTCAGCCGCCAGAACTCCACCCGGTCCTAGACACTGCAGAGCCTCCCATCCTCATCGAACGCGAAGTCGTCCGACCCCACGGCAAAGCGCGCATACATCAGCCGCGCCGGGTCATTGGCACGCTTGATGGACAGCAGACGGTCGTAGTTGGCGCCGTACATGGAGGCCTTCCAGTCGCCCCGGTACAGCGGGTCCATCTCGTTCAGGTAGACGCCCGACCCGCGCGTCGCGGCTTCGAGGGCTGGCAGGTGCCGGCCCACGAGCCGCTCCTTGGCCGCGGCGCTGCTCGCGGGGTCGGCCCAGTCCCACGCGTGCTGCGGGTTGCAGTACGCGATGGCGTCGCGCCAGGCGGGGAGCACCGCGTTCGGGGGGTGGGGCGGCACGTTGGCCACGTCGAGGACGGAGCACCCGACGGTAAAGTTGGCGTCGGCGACGATGGACTCGTACACCTGCAGGAGCTTGGCGTTGTCTTTTTGGTTGCGCACGACGGCCCGCGGGATGAGGCGGCTGGCGAGGCTCACGTAGGTGGGGCATGTGTTTCCGTACGGCAGTGGCCCGTAAGAGGTTACGTAGTGCTCCGCGTAGCTGCTGGACTCGAAGGTGGAAGTCTGGTAGGTGATGTTGAGGCGGGTGAGGTCTTTCAGGAATCGGGCGAGCAGAGTGTCTATGGCTGAGGTGTTCTGGTCCGGCAACGTCAGGCTGAAGCCTAGGAACATGTCCTTGGTGAAGGCAAACTGGACGTTGTTTTTCGTGCCTTGGACAAGGGAGGGCGTCTGGTGGAACCAAATCTCGAGCGCTTGCCAGTAGGCTGTCTCGTTGGTGTTCGAGAAGACCAGCAGACCACCAGCAACTCGGCCCTCACGGTATGCCTTGGCTGTCATGCTGAGGACCACTCCATAGGTCCCGCCACCGCCTCCGCTCAGTGCCCAGTACAAGTCAGTGTTGTTCTGGGGCGTGGCGACGACATGTTCACCCTTGGCTGTAACAACTTCCCATTCGAGGACCTGGTCCGCAGCGAGTCCGTATGCCGTGCTGAGTTGGGAGTGGCCACCGCCTTGGGCGTACCCGCCCGCCACGCCCACGAGGCCGCATTCCGGACCCACGAAGCGGTAGCCCGCGGCAGCTGCAGCGGCATATGCCTCGCCTGCAATGACTCCCGGGCCCAGCTTGATGGCTGGCCCCGAGTAAGAGATGCTGTTGTAGCTAGGGATGATCTCAATCGTCTTGAGGTTCCATGTCCATAGGGCGAGCGAACCCTGGCCAGTTGATTTCCCCATATAGCTACATTACAAAAATCCAGCATTAGCAGGGTTGCGGAACTGGAACGAAGCACCGATTTGCACCGCAGCCACACGTACTCAATGCCGGTATTCTTGACGACTACGCGAACCTTCTTCCTCCGGGCGAATTCGAAGCCCGCCTGAACGTCCTCGGCCTTTCTCACGTCGATGGAATGCACAGCGCGCTCACCGAGCTCGCACGCATCGTCAGCAGGCGCGAATGGTGAGCAGGTCAAACTCTGGTAGTAGGGATTCAAGATGTCGCCGGGCTCGGCTTCTCTGTGGGAGAAGTTGTAATTCAGAATCAGGCTCGGACCCGACGTCGCTGCGCCACCCCGTTAAATGTGTTTCAACGTACAATATCTGCGGACCAGACTGTGTGATGTCCGTCCTCAACTCTTCGCAAGCTGCTTCGTTATAGGCCGCGAAGTGGCCCTTGTTATGACAGACCTGACCCAGAGGGGCCGTCGCTATCAACCGCCCGTGCACCGTCCTGTTGAGCTGCTGCCAATCCTTCCGGCTGGGCCATCCAGCGTCCCCCGGAATGAACTTGCATCTCTTGTTGCTCCCAGGGTGTGCTGTGGCTGCTAGGGTGAGAAGAGACAGTACCAGCAACTCGAAGAATTCGAAAAGAGCCATCGCGATGATACCGCTCGTGCAGATAGCCACTGCTCTAAACAGTCAGCTTTTGGAAAGATGAAGGGCGTCGTGCCGACTTTTGAATCCCTGATCCAAGTCGCGACTTGTATCAACCGCTTCGGCCACTTTCAAAAGGGCTGCTCCTTTTAGTGTCCGACCAACATATTAGACACTTGAGCGTATGGGAATCCCAAATCACTTTTTGCCTCTCACCTTTGTATTCTTCGTCCATCGCTTCAGCCGCCACTGCAGACCGCATGCCTTTTGGACAGGACCATGGTTACCCAAATAATCGCCGAAAACTAATGCGTGATCTCATGCAGCGCCTGTATTACACCGAGCCCGGCCACATGCTGATTGGTCGTTGTGGTTAGAGAAATACTGACTTGACGCTGCCCTTTCCCCAAGGCCTCGCACGAATGCTGCCACAGGTCTCTTCCCATCAGACTCTCCCAAGGACTTTTGCCGCATTCCTCAATAACAACAACACCGAGAGCAGCTGGAACGTCGACGGAAATTCCGCGTACCTCAAACTGTAATTACAGAGCATGGAGATAGCGTCTGAGAGCGCGAACTAACACAGCTGGTGGAACACATGTTTGGAACTTAACACCACAGGGAATCGATGGTACCACTGAGTGATTCTCGATGTAACTAGACCATGTTGGAGCTTGCTCATTGGGCCATGTGAAGTTTTAAAGGAAAGGAAGACAACTGTCCCGGAGATTGCAAGTTTTTAGGACTCAATGAGGCATCGTGCAAAAGCTTTCAATTATCAGGCCGTGACGCGAAGCGGGCATCACATTGGTTTAATAAGTCTATAGCATTGATGCGTATTGTTCCTTTCAAAACTGGGCAAGGTCGTTGCTTGAAACGAAGTTTTCAAATTGCAAATATTCGACCCTGAGTCGGTGCATTGTTATTCTTCTCATAACTTCGAATCCGCTCCAAATCATCTTCCAAAACACCCTTGGCAATTACTCTTCCTTACCGCGCAGAGACGTCCTCTGCAGAACGCGTGAAAACGATAAAGACCGCACACATATCTTCTGCGCAATCCACTCCCGACTTTGAGTCTCAGTCACTATCCCATGGCCATAGGAGCCTCACCAGGAGCGTGGCTCGGAAGCTTTCTCCAGGGTATTCCAAGGGAAAGCAAGCACGCGACACCTGCAAAGGCAACCGAAACCGCGAATGCAGCCTTGATACCGACCATGTATGCCTCTAGGACACCAGGTAGCACGTCTGGCGGGAACACATTGTGCAGCTCCGAGGCTCCCGTCGAGATCACCAAGGGCGGATACACCCCGGGGGCCGACTTGGGCAGGTGGGCCAGCAGCTGGTTTACGAAGGCCGACTGCCCCGATGAGGTGCTGAAGGCGCCCCCGACCGTCTGAAAGACTGCATGTCGCTCTGGTTAGAATGGCCCGCAATTGGCCTGTGAGAATAACAGGACAGTGGATTATACACGTACACAAGAGGTTCGCTGTGACGGTAGAGATGTCTTCAGGCCCGACATTGGCTTGGGCGACCGTCAAGCCATGCATCATGGCAAATGCCATGACGGACCCGACGAAAAACTGATAACCAACCCATTTCGCCGTCGACGAGCCGATGTCGAGCGTATAGACCAGGCCGATGGCAACTGTAGTAAGCATCGACCCAACGAACATGACCTGCTGCGCACGGCCCGTCTTCATTACCACAGCGCCGCCGGCCAGGGCGAACACGGAGGCTGCGAGTACGAGGGGCAAGTTGTTGACGCCAGACTTGATGGGGCTGGCGCCGAGGATGCTCTGGAAGTAGATGGGAAGGTAGTACAGCAGGACGATATAGCTCCCCATGAAGAAGAACTGGTACGGCGCCGTGAATGAGAGTGAGCGCTGCTTGTAGAGTCTCGGCAACATCATGGCATAGTCGCCCAGCCAGATCTCCCATGCGACAAGGGCCGCCGTGATAACGAAGAAGCCGACAAGGAGGCCTATGACAACGCTGCTGTCCCACGCGTGGGTGACGCCTCCGTACTGAAGGCCGAGGATGAAGGAGGTGAGGGCGCCCATCGCCAGGGCCACCCCGACAGGGTCCAGCTGCAGGAGCTTCTCCTTCCAGGAGACCTTTGGAGGGGCGGCGGCGGCGGGGAGGTGGAAGAAGAAGAAGACGGCCAAAGCCGCGACGCCCCCGACCGGCAGGTTGATGTAAAAGCACCAGCGCCAGCTGACGCGGTCGGTGAAGGCGCCGCCGATCAGCGGCCCCAGCACGGCAGCGAGGGCGTACGTCGTGCCGACCAGCCCCATCATGACCGGCCTCTTGGCTGGCGGGACGGTGAAGGAGATGATGCTCGTGCCCCCGACGGACAGGCCGGCGCCGCCCAGACCCGCGATGGCCCGGCCCACCACCAGGGACTTGGAGTTTGGCGCGACGCCGCAGATCAGGCTGCCCACCTCGAATATGACCATGGAGGCCAGGAAGCTCCACTTGATGTCGTAGTACCTGTACAGCTTGCCGGCCGAGGTGTGGCAGGCGCCAAAGGTCATGAAATAGGCGGCCGCGTACCAAGACACGTCCTCGAGGCCGTGGAACTCGTCGGTGATCTTGGGGACGGCAGTACCCACGATTGTCTGATTTTGTCTCGGAGTCAGAAACGGCAAGCCAGGCTTTGGAGAGACGACGAGCTGCCTGGGTGCGTGGGCAGAAGCTTACCTGGTCCAACGCAATCAGGAAAACGGCAACAATGGACGCCCCCGTAAGGAGCACCAGTTTCAAGCCATGAGGGTACTGGTCTGCGTCTTTGTCCTGCAGAGGCTCGAGGTTCGCTCTATCCGGGGCATCCTTCATGGGCGTATCTGAGATCGATGGGTTGGCGGAACCGGATCGCGGCTCTTCTGCGATCCTGGCCGCTGCTTTCTCATCTGGCAAGGTCATGATTTCGACCGTGGTTGGTACGGGAGGTGAGGGTAACGCCAATGGAATCCAGTCCGGGGAAATATGTCGAACCTATAAACCAAAGAGACGACAAGTTTTCGACCAGAAATCCACCAAGGATAGTTCACAAAGCATCGCGATGTTTTTGTAGTGCATGTGATGGGTGGGTATGCCCGTGGAAGACAGTAATCACGAGCTCTATAGCTGAATGTTGCAAAAGCAAATAAAGGAAACGGAACAGCTTACCAATTTCTCATGTGTTCTCTCCATCCTCCTTTGTCTTGGAAATCCGCATACGGGTTGCACGGCAGCTAGAGATGGATCGTTATTGGGCAGCACTGAGGTGGCGTCCCCCAGCCCGTAGCACACTCTCGCCGACGGAGAGGAATGCGGCCGCTAGCGTGCTGCATCGGCCTGGATGTTGTGCCGCTGGGCTTGCCTAGAGTGAGACATAATAGTATCTATTGTTACTACTATCATGCCGAACAAAATTCGGCGATTTGTCTGACAAACACCCAGCGGCTTCTGGTTGCGGCTTTGGTGCCCGAGCACTCGTCTGACGTGAGGAGTCACCAGCAATTGGAGGCGTCCATCCTTTTCGTATGGAGCTCCAAATGACCGAAGACCCAGGGAAGAGGTAGTCAGTATCTATACCGTGACGATGGGATTAATTGATGTGAGGTAAAAATGCTCACTCACCTGGTCGTCCCTCGCCCTCGTACGGAGTGTCGAACTTGACCTGGTTGTCTCTCGACTCTCCAGCTCCCATTGCTGTAAGGCCTGGTCCGCCACGACTTAGCCATCATCATGTCCTGGACCCCACTTGACCGTGTCTACTTTGCGCTTAATGCCCGCCAAACAGAGCCAAAGCGTGGCGATGCGCTCAAATTCGGCATTTTGGGTGCCGCCAACTCGGCGTAGGTCGGAAGTCGCCTCAGAGCTCGTTGTGTCGTGATTGCAGCTAATATTCGTATCAATTCGCGAACTTTAGTGGGTGGACCCTGATCAATCCCGCAAAGCTACACCCGGAAGTCACAGTACAGTCCATCTCTGCTCGAGACCGTAAGAGGGCCGAGGAGTTCGCAAAACAGCATGGCATCCCAGAGGTCAGAGACACATACCAGGGTGAGCTCCAGATTCTTCATGGTTCACACCGCTGTCCGCTGATGACTATGAATTCAACGCACCCTAACTGCTTCCGTCTGATATAGAAATCCTCGACGACCCTAACATTGACTGCGTTCTGGTTCCCTTGCCCAATGCCCTGCACTTTGAATGGGCTGTCAAGGCCGTCAAGGCTGGAAAACACGTTCTCCTCGAAAAGCCCTCGGTGAACAACTCGATCGAAGCCGAAAAGCTCTTCAATCTGCCCGAGTTCAGCAAGCCAGACGCCCCCGTCATCTTGGAAGCTTTTCACTACCGGTTCCATCCGGTGTGGTCTGTGTTCCGGTCTCTCATCAGCCCCGCCGACGTCGTGCACGTCGATACCTTCTCCATGATCCCGTTCTGGATGGTCGACATGAACCACATCCACTTCAACTACAACCTCGGGGGAGGCACCATGATGGGAATGGGCACCTACAATTTCGCCGCACTTCGCTTGATCTTCGCCGCAGAGCCGGAGGAGTGCCTGAGCTGCGAGGCCGAGGCCTACACGGACGGCGTCCACCACGACTGCGACTACAGCTTCAAGGCCAAGTTCAGGTTTCCGGGCGGGGGCATTGGCGAAGCGCACAGCACGCTGCAGGGACCCGCAATTTGGAAGCCGTCCTGGGCGACCGTTACCCACAGGCAGATCCCCGTCCATGACGAGACGCTGCCCAGCTCTCAGGAGAAGCTGGTGACCCGAGAGGTTACGGTGAACGGGTGGATCCACGCCATATTCTGGCACCGGATCGATGTGAGAGAGGTGTTTGAGATCCGCAGCAAGGAGGATGGCAAGTTGATCAGGAAGTGGACAGAGACCAGGTCGCACAAGGCCTACACTTTCAGACAAGCGGGCGGCGAGTTCGCACATCTCCCTGGCGAGGACACATGGATGTCGTTCAAGTACCAGCTGGACGAGTTCGTGAACCGTGTCAAGGGCCGAGACACCAGGTACTGGGTCAGCAGAGAAGACTCGATCCTCCAGATGAAGATGCTGGACATGGCCTATGAGAAGAGCGGTCTTGGAATCCGACCCACCAGCAACTACAAAATCGAGTAAGGAATGTCGAACGGCAAAAGGTAGTGGGCAAATTAGATACTATAGGTCTATCAGATATAACATTCTGCAGTCAAAATTTGAATGTGGACAGTCTTGTGCGCTTGATTGATCTCTTTCCCTTGGGCACAAGGCTGCGTTGGTGCTTGAGCTTACAGGGCGGACCCCTCAAAGACACATAATGGCTGAGGCGCGAAGAAAGCTAGAATATTATTCGTTTTCCAACATCTTCCGCATTATTCTTAATTGATGTGGGGGGGAATTTGTGGAACAGAGATACCACATTTTGCGAAGCCAGAGCGCAAGAACTCAAGAAACGAGATAGACGTCGTTCGGTGAGCGGCTCAGTCATCTTACGACGTGGAATGACGACGGAACATACTACAGATTAGGACGTCTTTGGTACTCCGAATGCAAGGAAAGGATGGCCCACCCTCAGCTCCAGACGCTTGCGTTTAGGAGACAAGATGAGAGAGGCAGCCTGAACATTCGTCCTGCGCCCCATCCTGCTTATCCGGCAAGTACGGTAGGTGGGCGTAAGGATTATTCGCCGATGAAAATTCGGGCCCAGGCCTTCGGCGGTTGGGTGAGGCTGGAGCCGCCATGCAGGAATGCACATTCGCATCCGAGAAAATGCCATAGGGCTGACTGTCGAGGCCAGATGGCCAGGCAGACCAACCACTGCCAATGATACAATCAGCTCTTTGAAACCGGCTTTGATGGGCAGGACCGGCCATTTGGGATACATCTAGACTCGGCGAATATCGTACTCCTCGGGGCAGTTAGGGAAGGCCGGCGAGTGGCGAATATTCACACGCCCAAGACGCCAGCGGTGGAAGAGTTGCATGCTTACCAGAAAGTAGAAAATGCTGTAGTGGTCCTGTTGAAGCTTTAGAGTCTGGAACATTCAGGACTCGTGTGGCTCTACTATCTAAATCGACGAGGAGACTTGGTTGAAAAACATACATGCTGCCCCTTTCTTCGTCCCTAGAGATAAGCGCTCAACGAATAGGGCCAATTCCTCGACCCAGCATCAAAATGAGTCCCAAACAGTCCCAAGAGCCTATTGCCATCGTAGGGAGCGCATGTCGCTTCCCCGGCGGCGCGGCCTCCCCCTCGGCCTTGTGGAAGCTCCTCAAGGAACCCCGTGACGTTTGCACCGATATCCCATCGGATCGCTTCGACACAACGACATTCTATCACCCGGATGGCAGCCACCATGGCACAACCAATGTCCGACAGTCCTACCTGTTGGAGGAAGACGTGCGCGTTTTCGACGCAGCCTTCTTCAACATCAGCCCTAACGAGGCCGACTCCATCGACCCGCAACAGCGCCTGCTCCTGGAAACAGTGTACGAGGCCCTCGAGGCGGGCGGCCAGTCTCTCGATGCCCTTCGCGGCTCTGATACCGCCGTGTACGCCGGCACCATGACTGCGGACTACAATGAGACCCTTACACGAGACCACAATACCATGCCGACCTACTTCGCGACAGGTACGAACCGGGCTGTCATCTCGAATCGGGTATCATACTTCTTTGACTGGCATGGTCCGAGCATGACCATTGACACTGCGTGCTCGTCTAGTCTGATCGCCGTGCATGAGTGCGTCAAGTCGATCCGCATCAGGGAGTCACGCACTGCGGTGGCAGCCGGCACGCAGGTAATCCTTAACCCAGAGATGTACATCAATGAGAGCAAACTGAAGATGCTCTCCCCGACCGGCCGGTCACGCATGTGGGACGTTGATGCAGACGGATACGCCCGAGGCGAGGGCGTAGCGGTTGTGGTGTTGAAGCTACTTAGCGACGCCATCGCCGATGGCGACCACGTCGAGTGCGTAATCCGTGAGACAGGCGCAAACCAAGACGGCTTCTCCAACGGCCTCACGGTCCCCAGCACAGACGCACAGGCAGCGCTCATCCGGGAGACATATGCGAAAGCCGGGCTTGACCCGGCCGGCGACGCCCGCGACCGGCCGCAGTTCTTCGAGGCACACGGCACGGGCACGCAGGCTGGAGATCCGAAGGAGGCGGCGGCCATATATAACACATTTGGGAGGCACATTTCCAGCACCGAGACCCCACTGTACGTGGGCTCGGTCAAGACCATCATTGGCCACTTGGAGGGTGCAGCGGGCCTGGCGGGCGTGCTCAAGGGCTCAGCCATGATCCAGCAGGGCTTCATCGCCCCCAACCTGCTGTTCAACAGCCTGAACCCACGCGTCGAGCCCTTCTACAAAGGTCTGCACGTGCCTACGCAGCTGGCCCCGTGGCCCAAGCTGCCCGAGGGTGTCCCTAGGCGTGTCAGCGTCAACAGCTTCGGCTTCGGCGGCGCCAACGCCCACGCAATTCTGGAGGAGTACCAGCCTCGCGCTGGCCCGTCTCCAGCCCCGTCTTTCAGCTTGTCGCCATTCGTATTCTCAGCCGCGTCAGAAGGTTCGCTGGTATCGCAGCTCAAGGCCTATTCTGACCACCTGAAAGCGTGTGGCGATGGCATCAACACAACGGACCTGGCGTGGACATTGCACTCCCGGAGGAGCCAGCTGCCTTACAAGGCAGCTTTTTCGGCGGTGACCCTCGAGGATCTGGTGTTGAAGATAGATGAAAAGCTCACCGATGTCGCGAAAAACGTGGGTCGCGCCATCGGAACCCGCTCCAGTGCCAAAACAGCGTCTCCCGCTGCGCTCCTCGGTATCTTCACAGGACAGGGAGCGCAGTGGCCCGCCATGGGCAGCAAGCTCATCACCTCGTCTGCGTTCTGCCGCAATAGGGTCGAGGCTCTAGAGGCCTGCCTCGCCTCCCTTCCTCCTGATCATCGCCCAACATGGAGTCTCATGGATGAAATGCTTGCTGGGGCTGGAGGCGACACTGGTGCACGCCCGTCGCGCATCAACGAGGCGGCACTGTCACAGCCCGTCTGCACCGCCGTCCAGATCCTGCTAGTTGACCTGCTGCGAGCAGCCGGCATCAACTTCAAGGCCGTCGTTGGCCACTCGTCCGGGGAGATCGGCGCGGCATATGCCGCCGGCTTTCTCTCCGCCACGGATGCCCTGCGCGTCGCTTACTATCGTGGTCTCTATGCCCGTGTCGCCGGTAATGCCAGAAGTGGCCAGAAGGGTGCTATGCTGGCGGCTGGCACCTCGTGGGAGGATGCCCAGGCGCTGCTCAGGCTGCGGGCTTTCAGGGGCCGCGTGGCCATTGCCGCTCACAACTCTCCTGCGAGCGTTACATTGTCGGGGGACGCCGACGCTATCGTGCACGTGAAGAAGGTACTGGACGAGGAGAAGAAGTTTGCGAGGTTCCTCAAGGTTGACACGGCCTACCACTCGCACCATATGATGCCCTGCGGTGAGCTGTACGTGCAGGCCCTGAGGAACTGTGGTGTCAGAGTCATCAAAGACCGGCCAGCCGACGCGCCAGCATGGTACTCGAGTGTGACCGCCCTGGATGAGCCCATGGGGCCGTCTGATGATTTGCAAGACGTGTACTGGAGAGATAACATGTGCAATGCGGTACTGTTCTCCGACGCCGTCAAGCACGCCGTTGCTCAGCACGAAAACATCAGCCTTGCCGTCGAAATTGGCCCTCACCCTGCCCTCAAGGGCCCTGCCGTGCAGAACATTGCTGAGGTTCGAACAGCGCCCATACCATACACGGGTGTTCTGAGCCGTGGTACAAACGATGTTGAGGCACTGGGTGATGCCTTGGGTTTTGTGTGGACTCTGTATCCAAAGCTGGTGGATTTCCAGTCCCTCGACAGACTCGCCACTGGCCGTGGCAATAGCAACGTGCGTTACCAGCCGAAGCTGGTCGTGGGCCTGCCGAAGTACCAATGGAACCACGCAAGAACCCACTGGACTGAGTCTCGTATATCGCGGCGAATGCGCCACCGCAAGACGGGCCCCCACGAGATTCTCGGGTTCGAGTCCCCAGACTCCAATGCGCACGATATGCGCTGGGCGAACGTGCTCAAGCCGTCCGAGATGCCGTGGCTCAACGGTCACCAACTGCAAGGGCAGACTGTCTTCCCTGCCGCCGGATACGTGGCCATGGCGCTGGAGGCGTCCAAGAGACTAGCGGGCCACAGGCCCGTCCAGCTGTTTGAGCTGTATGACCTCACCATTCCCCGGGCCATCACATTCGAAGAAGGGGACAGCAATGGTGTCGAGACCCTCGTGGCGCTCACTGCAGCCCAGCATGACCACAACGGGGCCGTTACAGCCCAGTTTGCCTGCTACTCGACACCGGTCGTCACCAGCGGGTCAGATCAGGAGATGGAGCTCATGGCCCGGGGGTCTGTCAAGGTCGTGCTCGGCGACCCCGACGTCTCGGCGCTGTCGTGCACGGTTGCGGAGGACTACAACATGGCGACCTTTGACGCCGACCGATTCTACTCGACCCTCGCAGAGCTCGGGTACGGCTACCACGGCCCGTTCAGGACCATGTCGGCCATGAAGCGCCGGCTCAACCAGTCGTCGGTGATCGTCGACGCGTACCCGTACACGGACGCCGACCAGTCGGGCTACTTGGTCCACCCGAGCACGCTGGACGTGGCCTTCCAGTCGTCCATCCTCGCGCACTCTGCGCCCGGGGACGGACGCCTCTGGTCGCTCTCCGTGCCGACCTCGATCGGTGTCATTCGCGTCAACCCCTTGGTATGCGCGGCGCAGCCCCTGACCGGCTGTCAGCTGCTTGTGTGCGCGACGCTGGATGCCGAGTCCCCGCACTTCTCGGGCAACATCGACATCTTCAGCCGGGAGGGGCAGCAAGGTATGGTCCAGATCGAAGGCCTGGCCATCAAGCCCTTCGCGCCGGCCACGGCGGCCGACGACCGCGTCATGTTCACCCACACGGAGCTCTCGCCGTACCTGCCCGACGGGGCGGCCGCCATGGGCGAGTTGCGGCCCTCGGCGGTTGAAAAGGAGCTGGCGACTGCGTGCGAGCGCATATCCTTTTACTATCTGCGCAAGTGGAAGCTGGAGCTCAGCGACGCCGCCTGGCTGGCCAACGAGCAGCAGCCGCACTGGGCTCATCTGGGCGCGTGGGTAAGCGCGATGCTGGGCAAGGCGTCCAAGGGCCAGCACCCGACGCTCAAGAAGGAGTGGTCGCGTGACAGCCCCGAGGACATCCAGGCGCTGATCAGCAAGCACCGCGACCAGTCCATCGACGTGAAGCTGCTGCACGCCGTGGGCGAGAACCTTCCGGCGGCGGTCCGCGGCGAGACGACGATCCTGGAGCACATGCTGGCGGATAACATGCTCGACACGTGGTACCAGAAGGGCCTCGGCTTTGAGCGCTACAACCTCTTCCTGGCGCGCATGGTGAAGCAGGTGACGCAGCGGTACCCGCACGCACGCATCCTCGAGGTGGGCGCCGGCACGGGTGGCGCCACCAGGGCGGTCCTCGACGCCATTGGGGACAACTTCTCGTCGTACACATACACGGACGTGTCGGTCGGCTTCTTCCCAAGAGCGGAGGAGCTGTTCGCGAAACACCATGGCGGCAAGATGGCCTTCAAGGTGCTGGACGCCGAGAAATCCCCCGAAAGCCAGGGCTTCGAGCCGCACTCATACGATATCGTCCTTGCGTCGAACGTGTTACATGCTACCGGGTCAATGGCGAGGACTCTTGAAAACACCCGCAGGCTGCTGCGGCCGGGTGGCTACCTGATGCTGCTCGAGATCACGGGCCAAGCGCCCGTCCGCTATCACAACGTCGTGGGCAGCGTGCCAGGCTGGTGGCTTGGTGTCGACGACGGACGCAGATTCTCGCCGCTGATGACGCCTGGTGCGTGGAATTCTGCGCTGCGCAAGGCTGGTTTCGGCGGGGTGGACGCCATCACGCCCCAGGTCGACGGCGTGTCGTGGCCGCTTTCCATCATGGTCTCGCAGGCTGTTGATGAAAATGTGAACCTTTTGCGACGGCCGCTGTCTCCCGTTCCGCCCTCCCTGTCGTCAGTGTCGTCGTCGGCTGCAGCAGCAGCTCGCGTCGAGATCGAGAGTCTCGTGATTCTCGGCAACCAGACCCTCGAGACGTCGCAGCTCGGCGAGGAGCTGGTGGAGCACCTGGGGCGTTTCTGCCGCGAGGTGACCGTCCTCGACGGGCTGCCAACGGAAGCTGAGGCGGCAGACCTGGACCCGGCGAGCACTTTTGTCAACCTGGTCGACCTGGAGGCGCCACTATTCGCCGGCATCACCGACACCACCATGGACGGCGTCAAGCGCATGCTGGAGGTGTCCAGGTCCGTCACGTGGGTGACCAAGGGTGCGCTGCTCGAGCAGCCGTACCACATGGCCAGCATGGCGTTTGTCCGGACGCTGAGGCAGGAGTCAACGCACATCACCTTCAACCACATCGACATCGCGGGTCTCAAGTCGCAGTATCAGCAGCACCAACAACACCAGCACCAGGGCGATGGAACACCGTCCAGGGCCATCGCCGAGTACGTGATGCGGCAGTGCGCCCTGGATGCGTGGGACGCTCCGCCTTCGGTGCTGGCGACGCCCATCCATCGCAACTGTGGGTTTCTTTGGTCGCGGGAGTATGAGACCTTCCTGGATGAAAGCGGGCGGCTGCAGATCCCGCGGCTGGTCAAGAATAGCAGTCAGAACGCGCGGATCAACTCGTCCAGGCGCCTGCTGACCAAGACGCTACCGGTTCCCGAGTCTGTTATTAGCGTGGTCTGCGACCCGAGTGGTGGTGAAGGTGATGAGAATGGTGATGGTGCGCTGCCCGTGGTGGTGGAGCAGATGCCGGGCCGGCGACGGCAAGCCAAGGCCAATCACGATGCCGCCGACAACGACGTGCTTCTCACCCGAGTCCAGAGCTCGAGTCTGCTGGCACTCAACGTCGCCACGGACACATTCTTGTTCCTTGGCATCGGGAGGAGCGAGAAGGATGGCCAGATCCAGGTTCTTCTCTCCGCAGACAACTCCTCCGCCGTCATCCCACTGGCAAGCGTCACCGCCCCTCTGCAGCCCGAAGGCGAGCTGGACGCAGACGGCCTGCTCGTCGCAGTCGCAAGCGAGCTCCTCGCCGAATCAATCGTCGGACAGGTTCCAGCGGGCAGCCATATCTTGCTTCATGCTTCTCGCAGCAAAGATGACGTCCTTGCTGCGGCCCTTTTCCGCCGCGCAGACAGCGCGAATAGGGACATCCGTGTCAGCTTGTCGTGCAACGGACAGGACCAGCCCCAGCAGCATGGCGGCAAAGTGGCCCAGCCGTGGCTGGAGGTGGACACCCGCGCACCCCTCCACGTCCTGCGCAAGCACCTGCGCCTGGTCGGGCCGTCGCACTTTGTCGACGTGACATTTGGACAACGCGACCTGGGCCTGCGGGTGGCCCAGGCTATGCCAGCTGGCGCCATACAGATCAAAACATCGGGCCTCTACCGGCACGAGGTCTCTTCTCCTGCTGTGCCTTTGCCGCCTGACGTCGTACGGGATCTGGTCGCCCGGCTTCACAACGCCGTCGCTGGTGCAGCGCGACAGTCATCCCCGTCCACGTTGGAGCTGGTCGTGCCAGTCGAGCATTTGAGCACTCGACTCGGCCACCGACACCAAAAGCACGCAGCCAGCGGTATCCGGTGGCCCGTAGATGGCTCGTTCATAGAGACGCAAGTCCGCCCCCTGAACGCACGCAGTCTCTTCTCCAGGGATAAGACGTACGTGCTCGTCGGGCTGACGGGACAGCTGGGCCAGTCGCTGGCCGAGTGGATGGCGTCCAACGGGGCCGGGTGTGTCGTGCTGACGAGCCGACGGCCGGCCGTCGACCAGCGGTGGCTCGGCTCGTTCAGGGGGTCGGGCACACTCGTCAAGGTGATGTCTATGGACGTGCTGGACACGGACCAGCTGGCGGCGACCATGGACGAGATCCGGGCGACATGCCCGCCCATCGGCGGCGTCGCCAATGGGGCCATGGTGCTCGAGGACGTGCTCTTTTCCAACATGTCGGCGGAGGCTATGAGCAAGGTGCTGGGCCCCAAGGTCGACGGGTCGCGTCACCTGGACGAGTACTTGGGCGATGACGACCTCGACTTTTTCGTGCTCTTGTCCTCGGTCGCGTATGTTGTTGGCAATGCGGGCCAGGCGAACTATGCCGCAGCCAACGGCTACCTACAGACGCTGGCCAGGCAGCGGCGCGCGAGGGGCCTGGCCGCATCGGTCATCGACATTGGGCGCGTCGCGGGCATCGGCTACATCGAGGCTGCGTCGGATGCCGTGAGGGAGCAGCTCAGGCGGTTCAGCCTGTCGCCCATCTCCGAGGTCGACCTGCGCCAGGCATTTGCCGAGGCCATCTACGCGGGCCATCTGAGTCCCGAGGAGCTAAAGGCTCCCGCAGATGGTCCTAGACACCATGTTCCCAACGCCACTGTGACCACGGGAATCCGCGAGGTTGGAGACGACGAGGACATCAAGGGCCCGTGGTTCGTCAACGCCGTGCTGTCGCATCTCATCACCGAGAGCGCGCCCCAGGCGTACAATGGACCTGATGGCGGCACCGGCGACAGCAAGGCGGCCGCACTCCCTGTTAGCCAGCGCCTGCCACGGGCGTCGAGCAAGGAGGAAGCGCTTGAGGTGCTACTGGACGCGCTGTCGGCCAAACTGCGCGTCATGCTGCAGCTGGGTGAGTCGGACGGGCCCATCGTGCATGACGCGCCGCTTGTTGAGCTCGGCATCGACTCGCTGGTCGCGGTGGAGGTACGCTCGTGGTTCCTCAAGGAGGCAAAAGTTGACATACCAGTGCTGAAGATCGTGGGGGGCGCGTCGGCGTTGGAATTGTGTGAGAGGGCAGTTGAGAAGCTTCCCCAGGAGCTGAAGCCTGCAGGCGCTGGTGTCGGCGAGACCAAGGCAGAAGAAAGAAACGCGGCGGCGAAGGGGCCTGCCACATCCGAGCCTCGCCGCACAGCAGTGCCCAGGGATGATGCCGTCCCTGCCCCTGCTGATACCAAGGTAGAGGCAGCGGGCATAGACACTCCAATGTCGGGACTTGGTCCGGCCTCAAGCTCCAGCTCGACTTCTGGCGACGGCAGTGCGGTGTCCGACCTGGAGACGCCTGCGACAGGAGCATCCGTCTTGTCGGCTGAAGTCACGCCCATGGCCACGCCTGACGGAAGCCATGCTGCTGCCGCTGGAGCAAAAGGGTCGGGGTACTTCAAGTCGGCAGTGTTGTCCTCTGTGACAACAGCTACCGCTTCCCCGAGCGCCCCCAAGAAGAAGAAGATCCTCAAGAGCGAGCGCATCTCTCTCGCTCAATCCCGATTCTGGTTCTTGCGCCACCTGCTGAACGACCAGACAACGCCCAACGTCACCTTCTCATACCACGTCACTGGCAACCTGCGCGTTGGCGACCTCGAGAGGGCCGCTCGCATCGTCACCACGAGGCATGAGGCTCTGCGCACTTGCTTCGTGGCCGACGAGTCCGACGCCGGCGAGGCGTACCAGAAGGTCCTGCCTAGTTCCTCGCTGCGCATCGAGCATAAGAAGGTCGCCTCTGCCGCCCATGTCGATGCGGAATTCGCGAAGCTGGGCCAGCACGTCTTCAATCTCGAGGATGGCGACGTGATGCGCCTGGTTCTCCTCCAGATATCGCCGTCCGATCACGTTCTGCTGGTCAACTACCATCACATCGTCATGGACGGCGTCAGCTTCCAGGTCTTTCTCTCTGACCTGGAGAAGGCTTACAACGGCCAGTCCCTCGGTGCCCCGCCCCGGCAGTACCCAGACATCTCGGCTGCACAGCGCCGGGCCGTCGAGAATGGTGACATGGCCGACGAACTCAAATACTGGCGGGCGGTGTTCCCACCCGGTGAGCAGCCCCCCGTGCTGCCACTCCTCCCCATGGCCCGCACTAGCGCCCGGGTGGCCATGAAGGACTTTGCCTCTCACCAGGTGGCCGGCTGGCTCGACGCCAGGGTGCTGGAGCGTGTCAAGGCCGTGGCCAAGGCGCAGAGATCAACGCCATTCCACATCCATCTCGCCGCCTTCAAGGCCATGCTCTTCTGCCTGGCCGGCCCAGACACGCAGGAGCTGACCATCGGAATCGCCGACGCCGCCCGCAGTGATGAGAGCATCAAGGGCAGCATCGGTTTCTTCTTGAATCTCCTCGCTCTTCGCTTCACGAGGCAGCCCGCCCAGATCTTTGCCGACGCCGTCGCCGAGGCTCGCAACACGGCTTACCAGGCGCTGGGCAACTCGCGCGTGCCCTTTGACGTGTTGCTGTCGGAGCTCAACATCGCACGCTCGTCCTCGCATAGCCCCTTCTTCCAGGCCTTTGTCGACTACCGCCAGGGCACGCACGAGAAGCAGCAGTGGGGTAACGTGCAGCTGGCCTACCGCGATGTCCACCCCGGACGGACAGCCTACGATGTCACGCTCGACGTGCTGGACAACCCGGACAGCGTCTACATCATGCTGCGGGTGCAGACGGGCCTGTATGATACCACGGCGGCGAAGCTGCTGCTCGACACATACATGCACTTCCTCGACACCGTCACCGCGGACCCGGCGCTGGCCCTCGATGTCACGCCCATCTTTGGTGACGCGCAGCTGCGACAAGCCACCAGCATCGGCCGCGGTAAGTCTAGCCCCATTCTGTCCATCCCCCTGCTGCCGTTCATCCCGCAGTCTGCATGGTACAAGTAGGGCATCGGAGATTCAAGTGCCTGATTATCCTTCTAGGCTCCGACATGGTCTCAGACTGGCCTGCAACGCTGCCCCATCGCATCGATCAGATTGCAACCGACAACGCGGACAAGGTGGCCCTGACGGATGGGGATGGAGAGTCTCTGACATACGCGGACATGAGCCGGAGGATCGAGGGAACCGCTAGGGCTCTCCTGGACTCGGGCGTCGTTGGTTCTGGCTCACGCGTGCTGGTCTTTCAGCAGCCCTCGGTGAACTGGGCGTGTTCCATGCTCGCTATTATGCGTCTTGGCGCCGTTTACGTGCCGCTGGACTTGCGCAATCCTATTACACGCCTGGCTGCCGTCGCCAGGGACTGCAAGGCCACTGCTGTGCTCTCCGACTCTGCATCACTGAACGACGCACCACAGCTGGGAGTTGGGGCCGTCATCGACGTTTCCAGCCTGAGCATCGCTGCTAGCAAGGACACGAAGCAGGAGGAGGAGGATGGGAACGAGTCAGCAGCGAGAGACAATCATGCCCAAGCGGGCTCTCCAGCCGCCATTTTGTACACGAGCGGGTCGACAGGCACGCCCAAGGGCATCGTGGTGACCCATGCAGGCCTACGCAACGAGATCGAGGGCTACACCAAGACGTGGGGGCTGGGCGCCGAGTGCGTGCTGCAGCAGAGTGCCATGACTTTCAACCACTCGTCGGACCAGATGCTCACGGCGCTGGTCAACGGCGGCTGCGTCCTCGTCGTGCCCGCCCACAAGCGCGGCGATCCGCTTGAGGTCGCCTCCCTGATCGCCGACAATGCCGTCACCTACACTAAAGCGACGCCCTCCGAGTACCTCATGTGGCTGCAGTACGGCCGCGATTCCCTACGCAGCGCCGCCGCCTGGCGCTTTGCCTTTGGCGGCGGCGAGCAGCTTCCCCGCTCCGTGCCGGACGGGCTTGCAAGCCTCGGGCTCCGGGACCTTCGCTTCCACAATTCCTATGGCCCGACCGAGATCTCTATCTCGTCGCACAAGATGACCATCCCCTACACAGACCATGGTGCTATGCTGGCCCTTGGCCGAACCATCCCCTGCGGCTTCTCGCTCCCCAACTACCATACCTACATTGTCGACGAGCACCTCCAACCTCTGCCCATCGGTATGCCCGGCGAGGTGTGCATCGGCGGGGCCGGCGTGTCTCTCGGCTATCTTAACAACGCCGAGCTGACCGCCCAGCACTTTGTGCCCAACCCATTCGCGACGGCTGATGATATCGCCCGTGGGTGGACGCGCATGTACCGTACGGGCGACGTGGGCTTTTTGCGCCACGACGGCGCCATGGTGTTCCAGAGCCGCATGGCAGGCGACACGCAGGTCAAGCTGCGTGGCCTGCGCATAGAGCTGCGCGACATCGAGAGCTCCATCGTTGCTGCAGCGGGCGGTGTGCTTTCCGAGGCCATTGTCACGCTGCGTGACAGCGATTTGCTCGTTGCCCACGTGGTCTTTGCACCGCAGGAGCATCGGCAGCGGCAGAATGACGACGTAAAGACCTTCCTGGATCGACTTTTGAGCCAGCTCCCCCTTCCCCAGTACATGGTTCCTGTGGCAGCCGTGCCTGTTGACAAGCTTCCCATGAACAACCATGCCAAGGTCGACCGCAAGGCTGTGCGGGAAATGGCTCTGCCGGAACTTGATAGCAGCAGCATCAGGCCTGGAAACGAAGATGGCTCTTCCAACGAGGACTTGACCGAGGCCGAGTCGCAGCTCGCGCTTATATGGAGGCGGGTCCTCGGCAGCCAGGCGGAGCAGCTCGGGCTACTGTCCGGCATGGGGTCCTCGACCAACTTCTTCCTCGTGGGCGGCAACTCGCTGCTGGTAATCCGTCTCCAGGCGCAGATCCGCAGGGTCTTCAACACCGTGGTGCCCCTTGTGCGACTCTTGGGTGCCAGCACGCTCGGCGACATGGCCCAGGTCATAGAAGAGGGTGCGGGAAACAATGCTAAGACCAGGGCCCTCATCGACTGGGAAATTGAGACGCGCCCTCCTACCATGCCAGATTTCCTTAGGGCTGTCGATGTCGGCGGCAATCAAAACCAGCACGATGAAAAGAAGACACTCGTGTTTACCGGCGCAACAAGCTTCACAGCCCGCCACCTCCTCCCCCGCCTCGCAACCAGCGACGCCGTCGAGGCAATCCACTGCGTCGCTCTCCGTACCGACAAGGTGCGCGATGCCGAGCCCTGGAGCCACCCCAAGGTCCACTACCACACCGGCGACTTGTCCTCGGAGCTCCTCGGGCTTCCCGAGCCTGTTTTCCGCGACCTCGCCGCCCGCGCCGACGCCGTTGTGCACCTAGGCGCTATCCGCGGCTTCTTCGACAACTACCACCTGCTGCGGCCGGCCAACGTCAGCCCGGCGCGCGAGCTGGTGCGCCTCGCAGCACCGCGCCGCATCCCCATCCACTTCGTCTCCACGGCTGGCGTGCTGCCCCGCCATGAATGTACTGCTTCTGGTGCTGCTGCAGCGTCCGCAGCGCAATGCGTGCCCGCCGAGGACGGCGACGACGGCTACGCCGCGTCCAAGTGGGCCAGCGAGCGCATCCTCGAGCGCGCCGCGGGCGAGATGGGCGTCCCGTCCACCATCTACCGCTTCGTGCCCCCGCCGCCGTCTGCCGCGGACGAGGGGGCCAAAGCAGTGCTCCTGGCCGAGCTGGGCCGCCTGGTCGTCGCGTCCGGGCAGATGCCCGACATGACCGGCTGGTCCGGCCGGGTCGACTTCATTCCCGCCGAGGACGTCGCGGGCCGGCTCGAGGGTGCGATACTGGAACCGACGGTTGCAGATGCGGGCGCGCGCTTCCGTCACTACGAGAGCCCGATTTCGCTGCGCGCTGAGGAGCTGCGCGCGACGCTCGCGACGCGCGAGGCGGAGGGGCTCGGGCGCATGCCGCTGCTGAAGTGGTTCGGCCGCATCAAGGCGTATGGCTTTGCGTACCTGCTGACGTCGCAGGACACGCGGGTGGACACTGGTGGTGAGGGCCAGAGTGTTGTCGAGTCGCGGAGGTGAGAAACCTTTCGGATTGACGGGCGTATATGCGGCGTCTAGTGGGTGTCATATTCAGCGTTTTGAGGAGTCGTGTGATGCTTTTAATGCAGGTTTTGGTGAATCGTTGCTCCTAGTTATTATAAAGACAATAGTTCGAAGTAGTGGTGTTTCTGATGAATTCAATCATGCCTACATCACAATTATGCTAGCAATGCTGTGCCTGTGTTTAATGCTGAGAACTTCAGTGAAGCCGGAATCGTCAGTTTGTTTCACTTCCTAGGACGGCCTCGAATTGATTTGTAAGCTGGGAACAGTCAATATGCTCCGAGTCTTCAGACTTCTGGAAGAACAAAATCGTATTATCAGGGGCTTGACTCTGCATGTCTACATCGCATTCCATCGCGTTCGAGTAAAGCCGATCCGTCAAATTCAACTCAATGATTGGCATCAAGGTCTGCGACAATTTTGGATGCCCCATACGAATTCAGCTCCTCCATTGTCTCTTCCCACAGACGATCCCTAAATGCCAGGCCTTCTGGCGTGTAGCAGATGCTCGGGTACCTATTCTGATCAGTATGAGTGCAACACAGAGGGCCGGAGAGGAAGACTAACGGCTTGACCGTCCAGTCGCTCAAAACCGCCCCGTGGCTGTCTTTTCCCCGAGCGGCAACTGCATCCACGTACGTCGTCGCTGCTACATCTGCCTTTCGGGCCAGCAGGAGTTGCATTACGGCGACAACCTTGCGCACAAGGAAGGACTCCCTGTCGAAAAAGCTGGTGCCGCCTGTCATGCCCGGGTTGACGAGGTTGACGACCACCGCGTCCGGGCTGACCAGCTCGGATAGGCTCCAGACAAAGAGCGCCAGTAGCGTTTTTGACGTGCCGTACCAGCGCGGCTGGGCGAATTCTTTGGACTCGTCAAATTGCTTCAGGATCGGCCCCACGGTCTCGACCTTGGTTGACCACATGATGTCAGATCCCACGATGCTGAGAACAGGGGGATTCCGCGACTTTCCATCGGCGCTGTGGTTGTTTCTCTTCGCCTTGAGGACCGGAAGGAGCAGGATGGAGAGAAGCGCGGTCGAGAAGTAATTGACCTGCATGGTGGCCTCGTGTCCTGTCTCCGGCACAGTGGCGAACGGTGTCCTCATGCCGCCGGCGTTCAGTACCACCATGTCGACCCGCGGCAGCCCAGCGCACTGGTCTGCAAAGCGGCGGCACGAGTCGTATGATTCCATGTCGAGGATCAACACAGACACCTTTGACGATGGGAATTCCTTGCGAAGGCTCGTGGCGGCGTCGTCACCCCTCGCTTTGGACCGCACGCCTATGATGAGGTGCGAGAGCCCTAGGCGAAGGAGATGGCGCGACGCCTCGAAGCCCAAGCCCCCGTTGCCGCCCGTGACTATGGCAACCTGGCCATCGAGGCGCAAATCCTTCGGCAGGTCCGTTGGCTTCACCAGCTGACGTCGTATGAGCCCCAGCAAGGAACCCTCCGACGCCGCCGATGCCGCACCGTTTTCGAGTGCAATTGACATGATAACCTTGGAACTGTTTGTAGTAATTGCTGGCCGGAAATGCGAAGTCGATAAAGCCTGCGTCGGAGAGCGGATCAGCTGGAAATATCAAAGCATTCCCCAGAGCAGTTCAAGATTCTTTGGTGCAGAACTTCGTTCCAGGTGGCTTATAAACAGCAAAGACGAGGTCTCTTGAACTATGAAGCAAGTCCCTTTAGCCTGTGGTACAAGTCTTGATCTCCCAGATGAACAGATGAATGATTCGCCTCATTAGAACGTCAATACAGTCCTCGCTTGAACCGTTTTGATAAACACAGTCTTTGATAAGCAATGGAAGCGGTTGAGATTCATAAGCGAAGCGGAAGCCATGTCCGCACCCCGCTAGCAGAATCAAAAGGCCAGGACCGTGTCGGCGAGATTAATCATGCCGTGAGCCCGCGTGCGTGTACTTTAGTACAAGTAATCAATGGTAGGAAGATGGATGTACTGCCGGCCGGTCCTTTTGCGAGCTAATCCTACAAAGGCATGCAGCCAGTCCCGTGTCTCAAACCTGCATGTCTGGGCGATCGCTTTGACGATTGGGAATCATCCGACTACGGTCCAGAACCCCAGCTATTGTCCGCCACTCAGCCCCAACATTCGGCCACCTAATATCTTTACATTTTCTGTCCACATTGGTAATCAAATTGGACGCCTCTTTCCCTTACAAGCTTAGACACATTCTTACTCACATTGCATTTCTTTATCTATTTATCATTGTAACCTTGACGAAAACCCGTGAGCCATGTCCTCATGGATGCATAGTGAACATGGTGTACTGGCAGATTAACTTGCAGAAAACAGTCCTGAAAAGCCTCACTATAAATCTTGTGATTGTCAACGAAACAACGCATTTAGTACGTATAGAGAATGTCTAGGTAACAGAAGTACAAGGTGAGACGCCGCCAGATGATGCTGCATAACAGCCAGGCACCAAATGGCCAAATTGCCCAGAACCGTCTGGGAAAACAGTGCAGTCACATATAGGTGTCTCGTGACATGAGGGAATACTACCAAGCCGCCCGTCCTCCAAGGCAAGGGACGAAACGTCCACATCGAATTTCAACCACCTGCCTTCGATTTACTTCCAGTCCTCTTTGATAAGAGCCGCAGCTCTTTCAGCAACCGCATACACTGGACCCATGGTGTGGCCGCTCAACTGCATGGGGATTATGGAGGCGTCAACAACCCTTACGTTCTTCGTACCGTGCACCTTGACCCGCGCGTCGACGACGCCGCCCAAGTCTCGAGGTAGCATGGCGCAGGTTCCGATGGCATGCATGGCGTTGGCCACTCAAAGTGATGAAATTGTGTCAGTGCCAATGGCCCGCTTTCTTGTTTCAAAAGAATGAAAAGCTGGATGGGTTACATTGACTTACTGTTCCCCTTGACATATGCTGTCCATTGTGCAGCAGCGTCAAATGACAAGGTGCTCTCCCCCGGGACCAACTCAGCCGTCACAAGGCCGCTCAACGGTGGCAGGCGATATACCTCGCGGCTAAGTTTTGCCAGGCTAGCCATGGTTTGGACGTCAAAGTCAAAAGTCGCTAGCTTTGGATCGATCACGGGCTCGTCGATCTTATTGGCAGCCCCAAGGTGGATGCTCCCGTACGAGAAAGGCAGCGAGGCCCAGAATTGCTGGATGATGTTGGTCCCACCGTTGGTGGGAAATATCTCAGCGATAGTGACATTTTCCCTGAAGATCAGGTCATGCTGGACCTGGTATCTCTTGAGGAACGCCTTCTCGCTGATAGCGCCGCCGGATGCCTTCGATGCAATCTTGGCCCACGAGGCGAGTTGTGCTCGCGAGGACTTGACGATAGCCGACTTGTTGTCGCCGAAAACGTCATCAGCCGTCACCATGACCGCAAATGGGAGACGTCCGTTGATTACATCCTTCGTGGCATAGGCCATGCCCATAGCATTGTGATCCTGGAAGGACTCACCAACCCCAGGGAGCGAGACTTTGGTCGTGATGCCGAGTTTTTTCAGAATCCTACACCGTGGCGGTCAGTCAATCTCATTACCCACCCGCTCGCATGTCCTCGCAGACCAACTCACTTGGGGTTGCCAACTCCAGACGACTCAAGGATAAGGGGGCTTCTGTAAACACTCGCAGAGATGATTGCATCTCTCCTGACTCCGATTTTGACAAGCTTCCCTGTCGGAGTGAGGTACTCAACTCCGTCAGCAACGGCCAGGTTGCCACTGTTTCGTCCCCATGTCACTCTGCTGACAGTCCCCTTGAGTATCTTCAGGTTCTTCCTCGAGCCAAAAGGCTGGTAGTACGCCGTCGCAGAAGACTCCCGAGCACTGATGTCCCTATCTGCTGTGCATGGAGCCATAGCTGTACCGTGGCTATGACCACTGTTGAGGTCCTTGATAGGTTCCAAGCCTAGCTTCTTCCATGACTCTGTGGCCTTGCTGTGGTATGAGCTATTGGACAAGTCAAAGGGAAAGCTAATGGTCAGAAGGCCGCTCGTCCCATGAGCATTTGGGTCGTATGTCGCCCCGGCTACGACCTGCGCTTCTGTCGGTGGAATGAATTGCTCGCCAGCCTTGAAGGAGGCGAATACAGTGTCCCAATTCCAGCCTTTATTTCCCAGATCCTCCCATGCATCGTATTGAGCCTTATCGCCTCGGACGACCACGAAGCCTTCAGTGGAAAGAAAAAGTCAGTCTTTGGGTGTTCTTATGCAAGGCGGGTGTATGTAGTGGGTGACAGACCGTTGACAATGCTCGACCCACCGATTGCCTTTCCTGCGCGGTAGCTCATCGCACGGTCGCCGAGGTTCGCCTGGGGGACGGAGGTATACTGCCAGTTGATAGAAGTGTTGAAGTCGCTGAAAGAGAAGTTCAACGAGGCAACGACGGGGTCGTTGCGAACATCATCCCCAGCCTCAACAACGGCCACTGTGACGCGTGGGTCCTCAGAAAGCCGGTTGGCAATCACGAGGCCAGCTGTCCCGGCACCTGCAATGACATAGTCAAAAGTCTCTGCCTGGACGCTAGCGATACATGCAAGCACTACAAGAGATGGGAGTGCATACATCGTCAAGACGGCTATGGTGCTTCTCAGAAAGATGTAATCAGACACTTATTATGGCGGCTTTTCCTCAAATTGCGGGAAACCTATTCTAATATTCCTATAGCGACCGAGACTAATGAATAGTCGCGGACAGCTGCAGCTCATGAGAACTGCGCTGAACATTATTCTCCGAAATGATTCTGACTGAAAATCGGCGTAGACTTTCCTCCAAGTTCAGCATATCTAGACTCAGGTGGGAATTAGGGTGAAGCCTGGACAGCCACTTCGGTGAGTTACAATCCATACGACTCTGGCGAAGTCGGTTATTTAATCCTCTGGGGACTGAATCTGACAGCGGGGCGAAACCCACGATTCCACGAAGGATCGAGCAAGCGGAAGAAGAGCATCGGAACCACCTTGGTGACCGTGTTACGCAGGTGTGTGGGCACCAAGCTGAGGTTAAGCATTGCTGACAAGGAGTCGTGTGTTTTGCTTTTTCTGCATTGCTCTTCCTTCGGATCACCTCTTCCCGTGAGACACAGGCGGCGCCGCCTTCTACTTAAGTATCGGCAACACCGTGCCGAGAAGCCCGGGAGTGTTGCACGAAGAGGAAGGACAGGATTCTTGGTGAGAATGCAAGACTGCCTGCCGCTATTGCAGCCTCTAACCACAGGCGACTCACGGTTGGCGTGTTTCCCGGTCCATAATCCGCTCTTTTGCTTGCCAAGTCAAAAATGGCCCCTTTATACGACACGTGCAGCTATCCACGCCAACTATTTATAAGCATTTATAAATCCCTAAATTATAATAATAAAATCATTTATCAAAGCTAGAAGTATATAATATAAAAACGTTATTTATTAATAATATAACTTAATATTTAAGTAAAAGCATAAGCTAAAGGTATATATTTTAAACACTTATTATAATAAATTAATAAATAATATTAATGTTAATAATATTAATAATTTTAATATTTCTTATTTTAATACTTTATTATTTAAAAGTTAAAACGCTGTTATATAGCGTAATAAATTATATAATTATAAAAAGAATCTTTTTTTTAACTTTAAAGATTTATTTAAAAATTAAATAAAGAAAAGTTTTTAAAAGATAAATTAAAATGTTTTTTAAAGATTATAATAATTATAACAGTTACTTTAAGGTGCAGTTAAATGATAAGTATGGGCATTAATTAACTTTAATTTAAGGGTTCTTGGTAAGGGCTATTTAAGGGCATTGCATGCCTTATTTAATTAATATATAACCATAGGGCCTATATGCCTTGCTAGCAATGCTTATAATGCATTGCCTTTATAATTGCTGCTATAATAATATTTTTATTATTATAATGAAAACAAGCTACCTAAACAATGGGGAATAGGTTTTGCTAAACCTTCTTAAGGATAACTTAAGGAGGAGCTTTAACGTAATAAAGAAGGAAGATAGAAATAAAAGGGAGCTAAAGAAAGAGAAAAGATAAATATTTTAAAAATTCTTAAAAATAAAAAAAACTTAATTAAAGCATTAAATATATAAGAAAAGAGAAGAATTAATTTCTTTAAAAATGTTTAAAATAAATATAAAAGCTAGCTTTTTATAGCTAGTTAAAATTTAATATAATATTATTTCTTATATATTTTCTTATACTTACTAATATATTTCTTTTTAAATATTTTATAATAAGTATTATAAAGATTATTAAAATAAAATCTTATTATTTTTAATTAAGCCTTTAAGTTTTAAAATTTACTTTATTATAATCTTAATTATTATTGCTATTTTTAATTCTTTACTTATTTATTTTATTATAACTTTTATTTTTTTATAAAAGCTTTAAATATTTTTAAGATTTACTTAATAATATATTTATTAATTATATTTTCTTAGCTATTAAAGTTTAATTTAATAGCTAACATTAATATAATTATTAAAGATTTAAATATTTTTATAAAATAAAAAATAAATTTATTCTTTTTTTTAATTATTATATTAAGTATAATATATTAGCTTTGCTAACTTTTACTTTTGCTTTTTATAAAGCTTTTATTTTTAAGTTTTATGCCTTATATTTAATTATTTAGCTAGCTTATTTATAAGCCTCTTAAATTATCCTTAAATAAGTTTTATTATTACTTTAATTATTTTAAGTTAATTAATATATTTTAAGTTTTATTTATATTTATTATTAAAATAAATAAATAAAAAAGATCTTTATATATATTAAAGTAAATATTTTTTATTAGCTTTAAAATATTTATAATATAATATTTAAGCTAAAAGCTTATTTAATTAAAGTTTTATTTAATAAGTTTTAAGTTATATAAAAGTTTATACTTTATTATATATTAAATATTTAAAATTAAGTTATTAAATTAATTTATATTAAAAGTATTATTTTCTTTATGCCTTTTTTATAATTAATAGTAATTTTAATATATTATAATTTAAATAATTATTATTAAATAATTTCCCTTTATAATAAAAGCTTATTTCTTCCTTTAATTATTTTTATATTATTAATCTTAATAAAGGGAATTAATATAAGTATTTAAATAGCTTTATTAATTTTATTAAGCTTTAATTAAATAATAAATATTTAAGTAATAATGTTAATAATAGCTTTAAGTATTATAAGGTATATAATTTTAATTAAAAAAGCCTTAGCTTAATTTTATATCTTTTAATTATTCTTTCCTTAATTTTCTTTAAAGTAATTTTTAATAAATTTAATAATATACTATTTATAAAATATTTTATTAATTTATTTTAATTTTATTATAAATCTTTTATTAAAATCTTACATTTTATTTTTTAAAATAGCTATTAAATATTTATAAATAAGTGCTTTAGCATTTTTATTTATTTTATTATTTTTATTTCTTAATATAAAATTATTTTATAATAAGCAATAATTCTTTATCTTATTAAAAATTATTATTATTTAATAATTAAGTATATAAATAGGTATAATAATAAATTTATAATTTTTTATTAATTTATATTATTAATATTTTATAAATAAGGTATAATTATAATATAAAAGTTCTTTAAATAAAAATATAATATCTTAAAAATTAAGAAGTTGTTAAATTATAAGGGCTATAATATACTAAGTTTTTAATTCTTTATATTTATAAAGCATTCTTTTTATATTAAAGAAATTAAAGATAAGGAAGGCTTAATATTATTTTATTAAATTCATTAACTTAATTAATTTTCTTAGCTTAGGGTAGAAATTAATGCTTAGAAAATATTCTTATATTATTTTTATAAGCTTATTATTAAATGCTATTTATTTTATATTAAAGAATGATAGTTAATTAAGGGTTTAGGATTACTAAATATTATTTAAGTAAACCTTATATGGGAATAATGGGTGTTGTTTATATGGAGGACTGTTTGGGATTAGGCAGCTTTAGCCTATTAAGATGCCCGGTAAGTAGCAGCCTTAACGCTGCATATAAAATAGCTAGCATAGTTAAGCCTTTTGCCTTCCTTTCTTTTATAATTAATAATAATTAATTATTATATTAACTAAATATTATATTATAATATATAACTTAATTAATATTAATTAATAATTATAAAGGTAATTATAAATTAATAAAGTTTAAAGAAATAATCTTTTAATTATATTAATTAATATTATTAATATTATAAATTTATATAACATAGTTTATAATAATAATAATACTTAATATATAAAGAAATAATTATTATAGCAAGAAATTATAGCAAACTCCCTTATCTTTAATATATATATATTTATTATACCTTAAATAACCTTAATAATAACTTTTAAATTTAATAATTATAATTAAAAGAATTAAATTAATATTTATTTTTATTAATAATATATTTATTTATATTTTATTATATAAATAAATATAAAGAAAGGAATTAATTTATTTTTTAATAGCTAAATTATAAAAGTAATTCTTAACTTTTTTATTTTCCCTTAATATTATTTATTTCCCCTTTTTACTATTCCCTTTTTTAAATTAAATATACCCTTATTATTACTTTATTAAAATAATAAGAAATAATAATAATATAATAAATATAATAAGTAATATTATTAGCTAAAATAATTTATTAATATTAATTATAATAAATTATATTTTTATACTTAAAAATATTATTAAAATATTTAATTTTTTAATATAAATAAATTTCTTAAGATTTCTTAATAATAAATAATACTTAAATACTTATATTTAAAGCTAAATTTAAGCCATAATATATATATTAAGTAATAAGGTATATAAAGTATTTATTAAGAATTTTTATAGTTAAATTAAGTTAATATTTATATAAGTTAATAAAGACTTACTATATATTATTAAGAAGATTTTTTAAGTTAAGGGTATTTATATTTAAAAAGTAAATACCCTAAAGAAATTAATATATATTCTTAAAGCATTAAATTATTTTAAATAATTAATAAATTAAAAGTAAAAATATTATATTATATTTAAAATTAATTAAATTTAAAGCTATAATTTAAGTATTTATATTATTCTTAACTTTAATTATGCCTTAATAAAAGATAAGGAATTATTTAATAATAATAATTCTTTTAATTTTAAATTACTTAAACTACTTAACTTATTTAATAATAATAGCAAAGATAATAATAGCCCTTTAAAACCTTTTAATTTATTAAAAAAAAGCAATAATCTTTTTTTAATTAATAACTTTTATATAATATATAATTATTATACTTTCTTACCTTTAATAAAAATAAAAAACTTTTTACTTAATTTAAATATAATAGCTAACTTAAATAAATATTATTATAAAAATAAAATATTTATTAAAATATTATATAATATTCTTAATAATAAAATCCTTTTTTTATAAGGCTTATAATAATTTATAAATATAGCTTTAATAATTTAAAGCAATTCTTTTATATATACTTAAGGAATTAATAAAAATATATTATATTTAAGTTATTAATTAAGAGGACTTATTTATTTAAATATATAAGAAACTTAAGAATTAATTTAATATAAATAATAATTATTATAATTATTTTATAAATTAAAATACTTTAATTTTTTTTTTTTTTTAATAAAGAAATTTAAATAAAAGCTATGTGGATATTCTTTAAATGCTTATTAATAAAATGCAGCTTTATTATAAAGCACTTAAGTATATTATTTATAAAAATGGCTTTTTGCAAAATATAATTTTATAAGTAATATAAGGCATTCCTAAATTTTATTATATTATTTTAATAATATTAATAAATATTAAGTAATTTTACTTTATCTTATAATAATATATTAAAGTATTAAAGGCTTAAAACCTTATATTATAATATATAATTATAGAAAATAATTAATAAGCTTATAAATAAGGCTATATTAATAATTATAATAATTAAGATAATAATAATTTAGCTATTATAAATATTAAAAAGTAATATTATTTTAATAAATAATATAATAATAATAAT